ATAATGATCTACTCTGCCAAATTCTGTAAGGATTTTCTTATTGAAAGCTATCTTGGTTTCAGATCACTGGTTCTTCTGTTTCAATATAAAGATACAAAATTTCTACAAATACTTCCTAAATTTTGAGTATATTTTCCTAATTTATTTTTTGTAAGTCAGCAAGTCTGCAACTAATTTTAAATATATTTCAAGATACAAATTTCACTTGGGTGCGAGTCAAATATTTCTCATGCAACATGGGCCAGGCCAAACTGATGACCTCAGTATAATTTAAAAATACTTCCATGAGCTCTAATTCCTCTTGACATACAGGAATTTATACAGATTTAATACTTGGCATTCCTTTTTTTAGCACTGAACAGTAACACAGGTGACAGTTTGTCTGTTTCCCTATGGGATAATGGTTTTAGTTCAAAAACAAAAGAAGTTAGTCTTATTCGAGGCTCCCAGAACAATGCCCACTGCAGGGCTCCTCTGAAGTGAGGAAAAGACCCATAAGGAGGATCAGAGACTTACTTTTACCTCTACTTTGTGAGCCAGGAAGTCAGCCTGCCCTGTCAGTGTCATTCTGTGTGCTTTGCCCTCTGTAGATAATACCCATTCTCTTATGTCCCCCTTGAAATACCCAAGGAGAAAGGAAGAATAAGTGACTCTCAAAATCATGAGATTTTGGGGGTGAGGCAGGACAAGGAAAAGAGATGATAGAAAGAACACAATCACTTTTGTAAGAGAACTTTAAAATCAGCTTGGCAGGGAGAAGACTTCAAATGGTTTGCTTCTTCAGCCCCTACAGAATGCAAATTGTTGGTGTGCCAAAAGACCTGAGCTCTCATTGCACCTTGATCTACAGATCTCTTATTTTCTGTCTCTACCTGTACCTGGTAGACTTAATCTTGTCAACAAGCTTATTCATTTTACATTTGAGACCAAAATCAATGCAGTCTAAAATGTATTCATTCCGTATTAAAAGAGGACTTTGACTAAGTTTAACTGAAATACCACAACCAACCATGACAAAAGCACACGCCCACCACACACTGACAAATGCACAAACATAGGCTGAGCCAAACCAAGCAGCGTATAGGCGATGTTCCAAAAAGATAAACAAGCTTATTAACATATCTGTTCTGTAAGTTACAGCTTCGCTGCCGAGTTAAGTTCTGTAGTATAAGACCATGATTTAGGAGCCTATATTCCTCTGAAAACTCAGCATCAGCTTCCAATAATGACATGATTATTGAATGTTTCCACAAAGAGCACTAGAAGCCAGGAAAGACCAAGGTCTTTAAAATTGTACAGTAAAAATGGCATGTGTTAGGTTATGGGTTTTATTACACTAACTGAAGAGAAATTTAATCTCTTTTTTATTCCTAAGCTTTTGTTATTTTTATTTCTGTTTTATTTAAATTTGCTTGCATTAGCCCCCCTCTTTTTCTACAAGGTTGCTACTAAATAAAAAACTGTTTTTAAAAACACTGAAATTGGAACATTAATTCATGTCCCTGTGGATCTTGGGAAAAAGCCAATGCAAGTCTTGGACTTTATCATGATAAACCCCTGGCACCCACTAATCACAAGATTGCATCTTCACATACGATAAGGGGAAGATTTTTGGCATGGGAATGAACACATACACCTAGTTGTTTGCAAAGGCTTGCAACCTAGCAGCCTTTCAGTAAGGTTTCACTCACATAGCTGTTACTGTATACTCTCCAGCTATGGCTGGGAAGTTGATAATCCTTAAGATATGAGGAGAGTTTTGATTTCTGACACAACATTCCTGAGATAAATGCAGGATCAGAGAGATGCTTTGAAATTCCCAGAGATACCCCACTGGTAAACTGCTACATGGGAACAGCTTTTAACAAAGGGTCTTTAAAAAGAAAAAGGAAAAACAAAGTTAAGTCATAGAACTTGTGTTTGCCATCAAACATTATATTAAATGTAAACCAGACACAGAAAATAACAGAGCATCCCAAAAGCCTGTTTTTCCAAACTTTTCCAATGTACTTTAGTATTTTTGCCTACCCCAGAGATAAGAGCTATTACATCCAACTCTGTTCTTGCAAAAATGCTTTTGTTTCCCTGGTACAATTCCTTCCTGCTGTTGCCTCTAGGTGTCATTTCAGAACATAAACTTGTATTTTAAACTGAGTCGCACTATGTAAAGATACAGCCACCTTCGAGTGGTCAGGAAACTTTCTTGTCTATATAAATTTAAATACAAATGTCTTCTTAAACTGATTTATTAGCTAGTTACCAACATGCCTTATCATATACCAACATACTTACCATAGATGCAAAATTGCACATGTCACTACCAGATGATAACTGACTTGAGGTAAGACTTCTGCATCATTAAGTACATTTTTGTACACCTGACATACCAAGAAAAGGAAGGGAACAAAAGATCAAGACACCTAGGATGGAGTCACTGACATACCAAGGTCACATACAACTGCTGAAAGACAAAGTATTTTATAGTAGTTCATCACCTTTTCCTCACATATTTAGCCCCACCCACTAAACACAGACAGTCATGAGAAACTAATGCCCACAAGTAATCACTGCGGATCAGTCTGGGTAGCTACATAAACCCCTACAAAACTCCTTGCCCGCTGCCCTTCCATTCACAAGCACGGTGCTGCCTACTGCTCCAGGCCATGCACCCTTTTCACTCTCCTTCACCAGACTAGCCTCCTTTCAGTGTCTGATACAGTAATGATGCCTCAAGGTTCAGTGAGAGGATGTGGAGAGTTGTGGGCACAAATGGCTGGCACTTGGAGGTGGGAAAAGGAGAGACTATTCCATCTGGGACAGTGCAGCACGGGGAAAGTAAAAGGGCAAAACAGCAAGTAGTTCAACGTTTCAGTGACTTGCCTGACAAAACACGCTGCAATTTAAGGATATTTTTTTTTTGTTATTTGAGCCACTTCATAACTACACAGGAAAAAATATAGGATCGCAAATGACTGAAGGGCTGCTACCAATACCCAGTATTCCATTGGTACACATGTTATCAAATTAAATAGCACAGTTTCCTTTGCAACAAAGGTTTTGGAGGCATAATCTACCTATGCCATGACTGCAAGTGCCCAAATACTTCCTGCGTAGTTAACCTGCTTTACACCAATTCAAATCAGATTTACATTGGCAGCACAAACCTTCAATTTCAGCAATAGCTAAAAAGTAATTCCGAAATGCAACACTCACTTCTGCGCCACATCTTCAGACGAATGTACTTTTGTGGTTCGAATCTCTACTGCTCAGCAACAGAAAATAAGAATTTCTTGAGGAAAAAGACGAGTCACAGACTAAAATAACTGCTCACTTTCACTTGCTGTAAAGGGCAATGATAGGCCTCAATGGGGAAGTGCTAAAAGCACTTGGGCAGCAGCAAGGAGAAAGGTGTCAAAAGTTCTCATTCAGTGACCTCTTCTCCCAGTTTCACCCCTCTGCCTCCATCCCACTGCTGCTCCCAAAACAACTCCTCCTGTTTAGCATCACAGTTCCCTTTGATAGCTCCAGTTCTCTTTAGTATCTTAATATCTTCATCAATGACCTGGATGAGGGGATCGAGTCCACCCTCAGTAAGTTTGCAGATGACACCAAGTTGGTCAGGAGTGTGGATCTGCCTGAGGGCAGGAAGGCTCTGCCGAGGGATGTGGACAGGCTGGATCGATGGGCCGAGGCCAACTGTGTGAGGTTCAACCAGGCCAAGTGCTGGGTCCTGCACTGGGGTCACAACAACCCCCTGCAATGCTACAGGCTTGGGGGTGAGTGGCTGGAAAGCTGCCCAGCAGAAAAAGACTGGGGGATGTGGGTTGACAGCAGCTGAACAGGAGCCAGCAGTGTGCCCAGGTGGCCAAGAGGCCAATGGTACCCTGGCCTGCATCAGGGACAGTGTGGCAAGCAG